GATACTTAATAATAAAGTAGAGAAATAATTCAAATTGGATAATTCACACCTTATGATTCTTTGATTTTCATTTTGCCTTGTGTGTGTCTCTAAACCTTTTCTAACCCAGAAAAACCTTTACTAACCCAGTTAAACGAAACTGTGAACATGCAGAGATAATAACTGGGTCACAGAAAGGAGTGGATCGGATTAATCCTAGTAACTGCGCATATGGGTAAAGTATAGATAGCACAGTGGGAAAACGTGAGTCGAATTCAAGTGCCACGCACGGCACGTGATCATTACGAAAAGTTCACTGGAACGCGACAGCCTAGCACGTGTCGAACCGAGTAAAAGCCGTGTATATGTACACACTGAAACGTTATCAAGACCGCAGAATCCTAATTTGTAACAGCGTGTCACACGCCGCTCCGAGGGACCAAAGTCCAGCGAAACTTCCAAGTATATTTACGGAGATACTCAAATTTAAGCTAACCTAGCATTGGGACCGCGTGATCGTTAAAGAATCACTGCGTCTTAGATTCACTTTCGTTATTCGTAATACGGTTACGTTGGAAATAGACGATGTTGCAAAAAGCGATTAGTCGCGAGAGCCGAGGTCTTCTCTTGAGGGAAACTAATCACGTGCAGAAGAAGCGAAGAAGTTGTGTAACTGCGAACTATCCACTGTTATCGCGTTTCTTCTGACCCATTCAGTTTTCAATTGAAAAAGTCGTCGGCTCAGCACTTGAGTGATATCAATTATTTCTAAACAATCACAACATGATTAACTAATAGGAAATATATTAACAAGAGAAGTGTAACTGTCTTCAATTATTGAGAAATGCATGAGAAATCGTGTTTGATTTTTGAGTAATTGCAGCGTTGGTCAATTTGCAAACCGGTGTAGCAAGTTCTTCAGTCTCCGTCATACGTATTGGATACCAGGACTCGCCGATTAGTTGATAATAGATTATCAATGTCGAAAAAAGTGTAACTCGGCGCTGCGAGCGATTAGCAATCGTCAGTGATAAAACCCGGGCAGAATCTTATGCAACGATTCATTGATCTCTGACGTAATGCGATCACAAAGCTTGGGAGACGACGAGAGGAGAAATAAATATGAATAGTAGGCGACCGCGACGCATCCGCGTTTCCACGCGACCCGCGCGTGATCCACGCCTCTGGAAATCCCTCCTGTCATTTTCTAATTTCCTATCGCCCCCGTGGACGATGGTCCATCGACGTTCCGTGCACGCCGATTAGAGGTTCCGGCGACACTTGGACTCCTCTTATCTGCGCCGTTCTTCCATTTCGCTATCGTCGCCAGACGTGGGCGAGCAAAAATCGCAATACAATGTACCAACGATATGTTTTGTCTATAAACCGATTGCTTCACAATTCGTCTGACTATTTATACAACTTTTATCTTAAGGTTGCATTAGCCCTTAAATAGAATCAACAATAATTTTATTTAAGAGTATTTAGAATATATTCATGGAATGTATTCTATTTCTAGAATAGTATCAGTTATATTACTTCTATATTTTACTATATTCTATTTCAAGAAAAGAAAAAACAGGCTGTAGAATTTTATAAACCTTAATCCTCTGTAATTACCATTTTTCCTAAAAGTTCATTGCTTCAAGTATTGGACACAGCTTTTTATTACATGTTTCAAACTTTTGACAGAGGTCTTAAGATTATTATTTTAAGAAATTTATGGGTAATCAGACCTAAGCTTCAAATGTCATAAGAAATGGTTTGAAAGGCCATGCTGGCGCAGGCAGGGTTCATATAATTTTTTCCTCCGCCGGAAAGTGGGGACAACGCGACCATGGTGGGAACTGGTACTTGATGGGGGTATGCTAGGCATGGTCAGCGATGGCGCATGAGGAGAATAGTAGTAGGGATCGAAATACGGGCGAAAAAGAGAGGGGAAGCGAGCCGTGCGGGAAAAATTATACGAACCCTGGATGCAGGAGTTCTAGGACTAATGGTAACACATTTTGCCTATAGTCGTCCTAGCGATATCTTGCAATAAAACATGATTTACCTGAAATCTCATTTAACGCCCACGTTGATATTTAATTCTCAGATTAAATCGTGAATATCAACCAGAATTTAAGCTTACAATTCTATTTACAGAATCAAATTTTTTTTAACTAGTTGATAAGAAATTTTGAGGAAAAAGAGTTTGAATTTATTCTTTCCTTGATCTCGGC